ACTGCTCAAATCTTAACTTCTTCCCCAATTCGAATAATTCTTCCTCGACATATTTTCCTGTTGAAAGTCTCCACATTCTCTCCTTTTTCATCTCATTAAATGTCTGCTCAATCATCTGCCGGTGTTCCTCAGTGAGGGGTATCGGACCCGTCTACGTGGCTATGTGTTAATTTTGTCAAATATCAAGAACTAGAACTTACGAAAAAACTTACCTTTTTATTTTCTACATTATCCTTGTTGTAATCATCATCTTCTTCAGATAAGGCTAATTCATAAGAATCGTCTACTTTTCTTCCAGTTCTCGTTCGATGTTGATTTTGTTGGGATTGATATATTTGGTGTTCGGGAGTTCGTGGTGGTTCATTATTTACTTTTTCGATTTGGAGATGCCGTTTATTTATAGTGGAAATAACTTCATCGGAACTGGAGAACCTTGCTTCATTAAGAATTTTGACGCCTTCTATTACATAATTTTCCCCGCATTTCTCTATTTTTGGCAGGGTTAAATAGAGATGGAACATAATTAGTATCAATAAAGATTATTTTTTGATAATAGTTCTGTGTTAAAAAATACTAATGTTATAATGCCACAAACTATACTAACCTTTTCACGTTCAAGAATAATATCTTGAAAGAATGTTTTCATTTGCCGACGTTTATTATCTTTATTCTGTTAACGAATCGCAATGAGAGAGCACCGAAAATTTCAGCAAAACCTCTGAATCGTACTATATCATAAGATATAATTACAACTCAGAAGCGCATCATACTCATCACTTGGGCACCGAAAATTTCAGTAAAACCTCTGGATCGTACTATATCATAAGATATAATTACAACCCAGAAGCGCCCTTACACCTGATGTTGATTAGTTAGTTACCTTGGCATAATAAATATACCTGTTATACCATATACCATCTAAACCGCTCCAGTCTTCAATATATGGTGGTGAATTGATGATTATTTCTTTTAACTCATTTAAAAAATGTTCATAATTCCATGTTTTTCTATCGTGAGTTTCAAAATATTTTAAAACAGCTAGTAAATCCAATAAAGAGAATCAGTTTATCACTGAGAACAAGTCTGCAAAATTCGAATGCTGTTGCTTCCAACATAGGATTCAGTCATTGTTTTTAGGTACGTTCTAAAGAAAAAAAAATTTTTAGTATGCATCATGAGATGTGGCAAACGTAAACAATCAGCAGGTCACACGATTACATCATGCATGAAATGTTCCACGACCTTCGATTTTCTTCTGTGATATGTATGGCATTTTTCCGGGACAGATTTTTTCTCGCAGTCATGTGAACTTCCCAACCAGTAAGAAGGCTAGGATCAAAAAATTTACCGAGGTAGATAGTCTCATGGAATGAGGATGCTATCGCATCTATTCCGTCTCACATGTATTTTTATTGATTAACAAGACAATCGGGCCTAAATGATAGTACCATATAGTATAAAGTTTTAATACATGCCGTTAATATTACAGGTAAAAAAGCTAATCATTGGATTCTATTGCGGAGCAGGACCGAAGGGACGACTCTAAAGGAGATGAGACTCCGACTCTACGAGAAAATGAAACGAGATTTCAGCAGGAACTTTATCTAAATAATCGCTGATTTTTTTTTCAGATTCCATATGTACATATTCTCTACGTTCAACATCAACCGCACGAAGATTAAAAGAAGCATTTCTGTACTCGTGTAACAAGGTATTACGAACTTTGGCATGTAATACGCTGACTGATTCATTCTTAGAAATATAAATTCCATACGGCGTACTTCGATAGCCAAAAAATGCGCCAGTAGGAATAACAAGAAATATAAGGTCGATATAATCCATTTTCTATCAAATATAGAGATCTCATTATTTAGAATTTCATTAATGTTTTTTACAGCAAGACGAGCAAATAAAAGTACCTTTTTCTTTTGGATATGAGCAATAATAGCGCATGTAGTATAGTTCTATGGCAAAGCCATGAGTCTCCGACTCTAAGTATTTATATACCTATTGAGTTGTGAGCTCCACCGTAAATTACTAATTTAGAGTATTGTGTGATGCAATTTATCTAAAATTAACATATTCTTATTACGGAGTAGGCCAAATAGGGCGACCCTGAAGGGTCATGGCTCTAAGATCCTATTTTTGCGATTGGTAAATCTATATCCAGCGAGCAGTCACGCGTCTGTTGACTATCTAAGTCTATCTTGCCTCGCTTATGAAACATTGGATTCTTAGAAAAATGTTGAGGCCC